AATGTAGAAATTTATATTAAATTTATAATGTAAATAAACCGATTATTAGCGAATAGACTCTAGAATATTTTGCGATTTAGGTGAGGAAGTTACCAAAAACAAAATAACACTAAAATCCGTAGGAGAAAAAAAGAACTTTAGTTAAACTAAATCTAGTAATCATTTTCAATTCTGAATTTAAAAATATTAAAAAATAATACTTAGTGCCAGTTAGATGTTATATATATATATATATATATATATATATATATATATATATATATATATATATATATATATATATATATATATATATATATATATATATATATATATATATATATATATATATATATATATATATATATATATATATATATATATATATATATATATATATATATATATATATATATATATATATATATATATATATATATATATATATATATATATATATATATATATATATATATATATATATATATATATATATATATATACAGGGTTGGAAAAAATCACGATTTTTTTAAAAAAATCAAAAAAATCAGATTTTTTTGATTTAAATAAAGTATTTTTTGATTAACTTTTGATATAATTTAAAGTAATATGAAATTGGTTGACTGTGTTTTTTTTGTAAATAATGCAGTGGTCAAACAGGTCAAAAGTATACTCAGGATTCTAAAATCATTTCTTTTAACCTTATACCTCCACAAAACTATTCACACTATGCGATTGTATAAAGATTTTCTGGATATTTATTATATTAAGTTTAGATAGTATTAAGTTTTTTCTTAAATATTGTTGTTATAATTTAATATTGACTGTTTGTCAAAATTTTTGTCAAAAAAATATTACTTAGGATATTATTTACGATATGCAAAAAAGAACTGCAGGGTCTGGTGGCAAGAATGAAAGTACACTTAAATAAATGTTGTCACGAAAATAATACAGAAGGTGATATAATGTACACTTTATAATAATTAATTATTTTTTTAATTAGTATTATTTAATTCAAAGTATTTTTTTAGAAATTAAATTTCAAACTACTTCTTCCAATATTCAATTTGATGTTACAAAGCAACCCTCAGAATCATCTGTTTTAGCAGAAAAATGTTATTTAAATGTATCAGCAAAAAAATCACGGGCTGAAAATATAAACAATAATGGTCCAATAAATAAAAATATAAGTTCTGGATTATTGTCACATGTTGTTAAAACAAGTCAGAGTCAAAAGGCCGTATTTGATGAGCAGATTGCAAGAATGATTTTTGCAACAAATTCATCATTTCAATTAGTTGAACATCCAGAATTCCAAAAACTTATGTTGATGTTGAGGCCAGGCTATAGTGGCCCAACAAGAAAGGACGTAGCTGACAAACTCCTAACAATAGTGTTTGATAAAGAAAAGGGTAACGTTAAAAACGCTCTAAATGGAGAGATTGTAAATATAGCACTGGATGGTTGGTCAAACGTTCATAAGGAGCCTATAATTTATGTTACAGTTACAACTGAAACAAGTGATGTCTATTTAGCTGACACAATTGACACATCTGGAAGCCCGCACACTTCTGAATATCTTGAAGAACTAGCAGTTTCATCAATTAAAAATATAGAGCTTGAATTTGGGTGTCGTGTGGGAAGTATTGTGACTGACAATGCAGCTAATGTATCAAAAATGAGGCATAATATTGAATCTCGATCAGATATTGATGTAGTTACATATGGTTGCTCTGCACATTTAATGAATTTGTTAGCACATGACCTAGAAATTGACAATGTTAAAGATCATATAGTAAATATTGTCAAATATTTTAGGAACCACCATTTTGCTTTGGCAGAATATAGAAAAGCTGGTGGACAAAAACTTGTATTGCCTCAAGATACTCGCTGGAATACCATGTGTGACTGTCTAAAACTGTATATTGCAAATTGGTCAACTCTGCACAAAATCTGTGAGTCTAATCGGGCCATAATTGACACTACAGTGCAACAAAATGTCTCTAACTTAGTCATTTAGAGATCTGCAGAAGATCTACTTGCTCGCTTAGAATCTATTGCTTTTGCACTTGATAAAGCATAAAGTGACAAATGCAAAATTGTAGATGTAGTGGAAGTATGAAAAAATCTAGAAAACAAACTTTTGTGTAAAAGTGAGAAAGTTATCCAAAATAAATTCAAAAAAAGATGCGACAAGGCAGTGACACCATCCCATTTTCTGGCTAATCTTCTTCACCCTCATTACTAAGGTAGAAAATCGAATGAAATTGAAAAAAATACTGCTTTGGAATATGCCAATCTACAATACCCACATATTATTCCTACAGTTATGAAATTTAGAGGAAAGTCATACCCATTCCTGGAATTTGAATTTAGATTAGAGGTTTTAACAGAATTATCGTCTGTTCAGTGGTGGAGATCACACCGCGATAACATTGAAAGTAAAACATTAAATACAATTTTGCAATTGATGACTGCGGTAGTTTCATCTGCAGGAGTTGAACGTGTGTTCTCCTCTTACGGTACATTCAAAACTGAAAAATAGATTGGGTACAGAAAAAGCTTCTAAGCTTGTGTTTCTATTCAAGGCAATTAATCAGCAGAAAATTATTAAATTTGATGTTGATGATTAATTTTAATGCTGCACACAGGATAAAAATTTTTTAGTTTTAATTGATAATCGCTTATAATTAATACTTAACTTAACGCTGCTGCTCACCATTCGTGCACCTTTACACGGATTTTTTTACCATACTTGGCCTTTGAGTTTTATCATAAATTGCTTTACTTCTGAACTCGCCTAATGGGGCTCTTTCAAATCTTAATAATCTGTCAGTATCTGCTTAATCAGTAATGAGATCAAAAACTTTGTTTCATCAGCTTAATTAGTGATAAGATCAACAGTTTTTATTTGATAACTTCTGTAGTAAAGGATGAACATTATGTTATTATTGAATTAGTAAAGTAACTTTTAAAGTCAGGTGATTTATTTAAATCATGCATTTTAGTCTTTTGTCAATTGTATTTAAATTTATTAATTTATAAAATTAATCTCTAATTTTTAAATTAAAAGACGACTCAAGAAGACGTTGCTCATTTCAAAGGTCAAGAGGTCAAACTCTTGATAAAGTTAGTGTTTAAAACACTTGCATCTCACACGGTCAACTCAATGTTACATGTTAAAGAACAAGATCGTTTAATACCTTATTTAAAAGAAGTTATAAAAATCCGTATAAAAAACCAGATTGTTTGATAGTTTGTTTTTGAAAGTTGTTAAACATTTATTACGAGGTATTTCAAAAAACAAAAATAAGGTTGTATTTGTAAAGTTTCAAATTTATATATTTTTCTTAATTTATATATTTATCTATATATGTGTGTTATTTATATTGTGTTTTATTGTGTATATATGTGTTAAGGTTATATGGGTTTATATTTTGTAAGTGTGTAAATATATGAAATGTTTCAATGTTTGTGGTGTGTTATATGTAATATGTTTATAGTTTGTAAGTGATAATTATGTTGTTTGCATGGTTTCAAATTGTTGTGACTGGGCTTAGTTTACAGCAAGATTGTTGACCTCGCTAGCCAAGTGGTGTACTTTGCTATAATGTGACCTGGCTTTGTTGAGAGCAAAAATATTGTCCTCGCCAGCAGAGTGGTGTATTGTCATAATAAAACACATAAATTAATTCTGTTTGTAATTAGTGTATTTCTAAAATGTGTTGAAAAAATATTGTTTAAAAAATGTGTTTTAATGTTGTTATCCTCTGTTCTTAACAATGTATGCTTTTGACAATAAATAAATTTTGTTAAAAAGCAGGCTTTACTAACAGCTCCTCCTCATTAAAATTTTTAAGAGTTTCGATTTTCTTCATTAAATATGTTTAACTCAAATTTTTTTTATATATATAAAAGTAAGTATACAGCGTGTTGAAGCATAAGTTTTAATAACTTTTGTTAAATTTTTAGGATTTTTTGTATAGAGAATGTTTTCTTTATATTATTATTTTAATGTTTTGTATGTACATCAATATATATATATATATATATATATATATGTATATATATATATATATATATATATATATATATATATATATATATATATATATATATATATATATATATATATATATATATATATATATATATATATATTATATAGACACACACACACACAATAAAATATATAGAATTAAAATGTCTATACATATATTATATGTATAGACATTTTAATTTTTTTGCCTTAAATTATTGTCCCTTTTTCTTTAGAATATTAAATATCCAAAAAAAAAAAAAAATAGTAAAAGAAGTTTCAATATTTCCAAGTTTCTTCACTTGAAGCAAATATATGATTGTTTATAGAGGTTCTTTTAGTAGTTTTGTATTTATTTATTGCAAATCTTGCGTTAAATGCCTTTCAAAGTAATGAAAGGGTTTTGTTGATGGATGATTACATTTTATCCTTCCATGCTAGCAGTACCTGCTGAGTTGACAGGCCTTAAATTTTTTTAATTTGCTTTATTTATGAGTTCTTATATGTAAAAAATTTGTTTTTTAAATCACATTTGTTTTTTTTGTTTTTTTTGATTAAATACTTATAATATTTTGTCAATAATTGATAACAACTACCATAAATATATAAACAATACTTAGTTGAAAATATTACATTAATTTATAACTTTAGTTTAAGTTTTTAATAAAACTATGTTATCTTAACACAATGCTATATATGGTAGAATATAATAGATTATAGTATTATGCTCTGTATTATTTGCTTACACTTTATTTTAGATAAGTTTAAAAAAGAAACTTCAACTTTTATTATATTAGGCATCATTTTTACACACTCCTTTAATGCCTAATTATGTCTAATAATTTAAGAAATGAAATTATTAGACTTCGTCAAAATGAAAGAAGGCAGGCTAGGCGAGCTGAGATAAACCGCCGTCGAAATGAAAGAGATGAGCCCAGGCGAGCTGAGATAAATCGTCGTCGAATGGAAAGAGATGAGCCCCGGCGAGCTGAGATAAATCGTCGTCGAATTGAAAGAGATGAGCCCCGGCGAGCTGAAATAAATTGTAATCAAAATGAAAGAAATCAGGCTAGGCGAGAACTTAATAGGTATAATATGCATCGCATAGCAAGAAATAATATTGCTATAGAGAGTAACTACCTCGGAGAATTAAACCATAATTGTCAGTATTGCAGTGCAAAGAAGTTTTTAAATGAAACTCATTTTTTGTGCTGCCATTCAGGAAAAGTTATATTAGCTCCTCTTTCTCTTTATCCGCCATTGTTGACTGGTTTAATGACAGGAAACCATGTTGGTCATGCTGTAAATCAAAATTTTTTTTAAACACATAAGGAGTTATAATTCCTCTTTATCTTTTGCTTCCTTCACTGCCGAAATAGCTCCTCCCTCAAATAATGGCCCTTTCTGTTTTAGGGTCTGTGGGCAAATTTTGCATCGTGTTGGAAATTTAAGGCCTGCAGAAGGTTGTCTGCCCAAATATTGTCAGCTGTATATCTATGATCCTAATGCAGCAGTGTCATTCAGAATGGAACAACCTGGTAATGATGGTTGTATACATGAGTTAATGCAACTCTTGCAAACATTAATTAATCAAGAAAACCCATTTGCTCTTGCATTTAAAAACATGGCAGAAGTAGAGGATGAAGAAATCCGCCAAGCAGCTTTAGAAGGTAGACCAACCTCTGTTGTAAGAATGTTTTTGCTTGAAGGTCATGATAGACGTCGATACAATCTTCCTTCCCAAGAGGAAGTTGCTATTGTGTTTGTGGGAGATAATGGTGCTCCAACTGCATCCAGGGAAATTGTTATATACCCTCGAGGTCAGCCTTTAAGAACAATTGCTTCTTCTGTTACAAGTAAGTTGTTCTATTCACTTATACTTGACTTAATTTATGGATTAATTGGTTTTATTGCATTTTTAACTTTCTTTTATTTATCTCTAGCTGCTGCTTCTTCTGTTACAAGTAAGTTGTTATATTCACCTTTACTTGACTTATTACATTGATTGATTGCTTTTATTGTACCTTTTGTTTTTTAATATAGCTACAAATGTGCTTTCCAGTTTAATTAGTTAATGTAATAAGTCAAGTATTAGTGAGTAAAATAAATAAGTTGTTGTGCTCACTTGTACTTAATTTATTACATTATTTGCTTTTATTGTTTTTTTACAGTAGATTTTTTGTAAGTATTACCTAGGTAGATAGTTGTATTTATATATAATTTTTTTTTCAGGCTCGAAGTCATGGGAAGATTTCCGAAAGTATCGCTCCCAGCATCCAGGCCCTCTATCTATGAGGGCCTTCCATCGCTGGTGTTTGTATGGGGACGACCATCCCTCCTTTAGATGGAGGGATGGCACCCCATACAACACGGGGAATAGAGCGGATGCTGGGAGAAGACAACGTGGCTCAAAAGTTGTCAATAATTTTTTTACATTTTAAAATGTAAAGAAATTGACAACTTTTGAGCCACTTCATTTTTTTTTTGTAATATATTTTTGTTAATTTATTTTTGTAAATTTATTTTTGTGTTGTTTTTTAATTTTTCCCATGAATGTTAAATGTTAAAAGTAAATCATTTAAATAAAGACACCTTTATCAACAATGCTCATTAACTAGAAATAAAAGTCACGGTCATACATTTGATAAAGTTAATGTTAATCTCAAAGGGATTTGGTTTTCACACAATCAAATTCTATGTAGCACCTTCCAGAACTAAGAATATAAGTGTGTGGTGTTAGTAGTTTAAAATATGTATAATAAACTCAGAATAACTCAATAAACCTCAACAAAACTATGAACTAATTTTGAAATTCAAGTTGTTTTTATTTATTAATACCTCCCCTCCCAATAACTCTAATTTTCCTTAAAAAACTAATTTTTTTGTCCTTTGAAGGTGGTTCTGCTATTTAATTAATTGTTGTGATGTTTTATGCAAATAGATTTAGCTCACATTCATGTTGGTCTGTCAGGGTTATGTAAAAATAAAAAAGTAAGTTTCTTATTCGCATTTTTGAGTTTTCAAAAGTATTGATTGCATGACATGTTAATTTGTAATTAATGTGTATAATTATGCGTTTAAATAACTTTGTTCCATTTTTAGTTCCGTTTCTTATAGCTGACTTGATTATGGCTTACCTAAAGCTTAATATTTATGAAACAATGATTCAATTTAAATTGTATTATAAGTAGCTCTGTTGAATAAAATTTTTTTTTGTAATTTGTACTAAAGGTTATATTTTTATTTTATATCAAGAAAAATATGTTTTTAAGTAAATATCTATATTTTTTTATTTTGGGATTTATTGTTCTAAATGGATATAAAAATCATTTTTGCTTTGTCTTTTATATTTCCTTTTATTATATATGAATAGGAACCATTTATGCTTTAATCACCATTAGCACTCGAAGTTTCCATTTGCATTAAGTATCGATTTTTGGCACACACAACAGGTTTAATAACTTAGGCAGTAAAAACAGCTTGAATGATTTGTTAAGTCTTTAAAGAAACGCTTTTACGAAAAGCATTAAATAGATAAAGCTAACTTATTTAAAATAATAAGTCTTTAACCCGTTTTTCTATATCCAAATTTACTTTTTAAATAAATGTTGATGAAAGGGTAAAATATCGTTATAGCCTACGTTAATTTTAAATTCTTTTTAAATTAAAGGAAAGAGTTTTGATACTTATTTAAATAGGGTTAATAAAATATTTTAAATTATATTATATATATTATATTTAAGAAATTATTAAACTAAATTAAATAAGATTTTTAGATGAAACAGTAAAAATAATTGTTTAAAATACGTGCGTGCAAATAATTCCTACAAATACTAAACGTAAAATAACGCTTACAAACACCAAAAGTATGTTTGCAGTGAATAAAGTTAAGTTCAAAGATAAATAGGAAGAAATGTTTAAAACTGTTTCAATAATAACATTTATTTTTAATTACTTTTGTTGTAAGTTGGGATGAAAAAAAAAAGTCACTGGAGTATGAACTCCCGGGGTGAGATGACTATATCTGTCTAAGTGTTGCGCGTCTACCAATTAGCCCATAAACGTATTTTCTATTTAGAATTTAAGATTATTTATGACGCATAAGAAGTGTAATTAAAAATTCAAAACCAAGTTATCAACAACTGAATTTAAATAAAATCTAATTAGATGTGTATATGTTATGAACGTTAACTAAGGCGTACTTTAACGGCGTCACGTGTTGAATGTTTTAGCATTTTTCTAAGTTCGTAGTCTTTTTTACGTTTTTTCTTATTAAAATTTTTATAATCGGCATAATATTAAAATCGTTTGAAGTTTTTAAAAGAACATTTTAACAGAAATGTTTTTGTCATATCAAAAAGTAAGTATAGTTTTTTATATGTACATTTTTAAACGGTTTTAAAAAAATATTGAGGTAAGGAATAAGTATAGAAAAGGTCGGTGTGGAATAGATTTACTAAGACCCTTAGTTTACGTCCGGATAGCTATAGATAAGTATAAAAATGGTCGGTTCGGTAAAGACCCGTATTTTACGGGTCTCCCCAGCTAGTTATGTTTATTAATTTGTTTTGTGCACTGTAGCATTACCTGTTTTATTTATTTTTATTGTATACTTTGAGTCATTATTTCTATAAATACATAGTTCTGTTACATTTAATTAGTTTTTTTTTTTAAATATGACAAAAATAGTTTTTAAATAAATTTTTATTATTCAAAAATCAAACATAAAAGAAAAACTTGATTTAAATCATTAGTCATCCAAAAAAATCTTTTGATTTAAATCTTGATTTAAATCGATGTGATTTAAATCAGCCAACCCTGTATATATATATATATATATATATATATATATATATATATATATATATATATATATATATATATATATATATATATATATATATATATATATATATATATATATAAACGGGGCCGCAAAGAGGGAGGGGCAATTGAAGTAGTTTTCCCCATGCATCACAGCCCATGGGGCATCACATCTGTCTTAAAAAAAAAAAATTTAACGATATAAAATTCAGCTGATAACATATTTAAAGCTTAAGCAATTTTTCTGTATTTCGTTCTCCTTATAAACCTTGTTTACATTTAAAATATCATAATTATTTTTTATTTGAACGCACGCGTTTTCATTGGCCTTTCGTTTGCATAATAAAGTAAAGTATATTTTCTTATTTTAACGGCTTGTAAAAGTTCTTTTGGATATAAAACAAAATTGGAGATGAAACAAAACGGTGGAAAGTAACTTAGTAATGCATTGATGTCACAACTTTTCTAGCTTCAATAAATTTAGCTTTTAGGAGTAAAAATATTGTCTTTATTTTAATTTATATTTTGCATTATTTTGTTTATAATTGAAAAAAAAAAAATTATAATTGGATACAAATATGGATTACTATTTTGATAATTTTTTTGATTTCAATTAGAATCCAATAAGAAATTGTTCAAAAATTGGAATGGAAATTTTTTGGAGTTTATTGGTAAGCAAGGCTACGAGTATGGCGCTAATATGGCAGGTATTTACAATGAGTTCAAATTTTGATTAGGCAGAATAATCGACAATTTTTAGTAATTTTTATACCTTGCTCTGCTAACAGTTTGAACTTATGTGCAGTGCACGCTATTGAACCATCGGCTCTTGCAAGATTTTTTGTTTTCACTGTTTCTAGGTTTATTATTAATTATTTGTAATTATTTAATTAATTATCTAATTAATTAGGTAATTATTTGAGGGTAGCAACGTGAATCTTCAGCTTTAATTTACTCAACTCACTCTTGATAATGAAGTAAAGATTCTAAATGTCTTTTTGACAGATCTGGATTGAATCCGTTCGTCTTGGGATCTGTTTATACCTGATATAAGCAACAAAAGTTGCAAAGAACTAGAAATTTAATGAAGTGTTTTCTGCAAAGAGAATGCAAAAAAAGCAGGTCTTCCCTGATGAAACTGCTAGTTACAACCACAAAGAAGCATCAAAAAACTTTGGGTGTAATGTCTTCAATGTTCACTCGACAATCTAACTAGTCAAATGAGATCAAAATTTAAAGTAATACAAGCGGAATGTAACAATTTTTCCTTCCTTTGGTCTTCACAGAAATCCAAAACAGACAAAGAACTAGGTTTAAAAGCTGATAATCTGGCTAAACGTTACCAAGAAGTCATATGTAAAAACGAATTTTCTGATAAAGTTTTTTTTTCCGTAAGAAGATATAATTTTGCCTGAAAAATGCCTGTCGAACTTCTAAATGAAGTTTATGCAAAGAGGTTGCATTCATTATTTCCTCAAGTGTGTGTTTCACTTAGAACCTTTCAAACATTCCCCTTTTTCAAGTTAGCTATCATCAAAGATTATCTTCGTTCCACAATGGACCAGGAGCAATATTGCTACTTAGTTGAATCAAATTTAGCCAAAAACGTTTTTTATAAAAAAGTTCTTTTTGCTGCTAAGAAGGCCTGGAAAATGTGTTCAATATTTAAAATATATTTAAACTATATATTTAAAAGCCAAAATTAATTAAATGTGATTTAAGGTTTTTTATGAAAGTAAACAAAAAATAATTATACTAATTTATTTGGTATTTCTCATTTTAAGACCTGAAGTATGATAGGGCATCCATTAAGCTTTTGGACCCGGGCATCACAAAAGCTCTGTATATATAAACTATATATATATATATATATATATATATATATATATATATATATATATATATATATATATATATATATATATATATATATATATATATATATATATATACATACATATATATGTATATATATAGTTTATCTATACATATATATATATATATATATATATATATATATATATATATATATATATATATATATATATATATATATATATATATATATATATATAGTTTATATATATATATATATATATATATATATATATATATACATATATATATAGTTTATATATATATATATATATATATATATATATATATATATATATATATATATATATATATATATATATATATATATATATATATATATATATATATAGTTTATATATATATATATATTTTTATATATATATATATATATATATATATATATATATATATATATATATACATGTATGTATATATATATATATATTATATATATATATATATATATATATATATATATATATATATATATATATATATATATATATATATATATATATATATATATATATATATATATATATATATACTTTTATATATACTTTTTAAAAAATGACAAATTTGTCATTTTTTAAAAAGTTGCAAAAATAACAACGTTAAAGATTCTTTTATATTTCTTTTTGCAAGAAAATGTAATTTTCTTGCGACCTGCGACCTTAAAATTTAAGGTCGCTCCACTTGACATAAATGTATACATCTAATGTATCTTAGATTTTGGTAGAGATCAGCCGTTTAAATAATTTTTTAGCATTTTTATTCATTCAAAA